CGCCACCAAACAACTGAGTGAGCGGCTCATCAGCCCGGAGTCGCATCTAACTATCTTGCATCAACTCACTCGGCCCAAGATGAGAGGAAACTGCATTTAAGTAACCTGCATTGACTCATTAGCCCCAAATGAGGGCAAACTTGATTTCTGCAACACAACGACACGCCAAGAGGCAACTGAGCAAGTGGCTCATCAGCCCGGAGTCGCATTTAACTATCTTGAGTGAACTAACTCGGCCGAATATGAGGAGAAACTGCATCCAACGAATTTGCATTAACTCATTGGCTCAAAATGAGGGCAAACTGGATTTCCGCGACACAACGACACGCCAACAAGCAATTGAGCGAGTGCCTCATCAGCCGGAGTCGCATTCAACTATCTTGCATCAACTAACTAGGCCCAAAATGAGGGGGAAACTGCATTTAACGAATTTGCATGAACTCACTGGCCCAAAATGAGGGGGAGCGGGATTCACACAACACAACGACACGCCGACAAGCAGATGAGTGAAAGACTCATCAACCCGGAGCCTCATTTAACTATCTTGCAGCGACTAACTCGGCCCAGAATGAGGGGAAACTGCATTTAACAAACTTGCATTAACTCATTGGCCCAAAATGAGGGGAAATTGGATTGACACATTGACAAGCGACCAATCGGCAACCACAAACGACCAAGGCAACTTGCTATACGGAAACATGTCTGACTATCAAGTGCCAAGGCAAGTCAACTCAAGTCACGCAAGTGGCAAGCACAACCTGCCGATCAAGATAACTTGATACATAACCATGTGTCAAACCCGGGCGTATCCGAGGTCCAGACGTGAGAAACTCCGAGGGCCTCACAGCGGGAAGGGACCGAATCGATGCCTGGTGCCTTGCTAAATGAAATCAAACTGGACGAACCCAGCGACACTAGAAGATGCAATCAAGTTGCAAGTCAGTGAAATTCGCAAGACAGCTGGCCTTCTGGCCATTGAGGAATCAAAGCATGCAGCGCTGTGGCGCCGATAGGGTGAGCATAAAGGCTAACAGCTGAATGGGGCCATGTGTCGGATTGGGCTCCCGGCGGAATCACTGGGTATCACCTGCGTGCGATCGGTCGGAAACAACGAAAATTCATGCACAAATGCCATACCCAAGCACCAAAAAATCATGCAAATCCAAGCCAACCAACGCAACCAAATACATGCAGCTCAAGACACGCAAATACCCTCACATGACGCAAATTCTCTCTGTTCCAAGCACCGCTCGGCCCTCATCAAAACTGCCCCGGAGGGGGCGGGACCGGAAGCCGGCGCCTAGGCGGTACCGCCGGGGGCATAGGCAGGTGGTTCTTCCAGTCACTCGATGACGCCGGAGATGGCACGTTGGGATCCGGCTGCGTGCGAGGTCTGGCTTTCTTCGGGACCGGCTTCGGGAAGGAGCTGGGCGGCATAGCCTTAGGTGGTGGCCCCTGACAATATGGGGTCATGGCCAGGATCCTGGCTGCTCCAGAAGCGCTGATGTTGGGCTCCTGCGGGATGTCTGGCCACAAGGCCTGGATTTTGGGGGGACCTCCCCCTTTGATTTGCGGCATCTGCTTGATTTCGACAGGCCGCGGACGCGGCTTGACCAATGCCGCCTTGCTCGTCGGAAGCCATTTGGGCGGAGGCATCTCCTGGCCCTCGGAGGGCTGCTGATGCGAGGCCTTGGGAGGTGTCGCGGGGGCGCCCATGTCCTGTGTTCCCGAATCAGGGGCATCGGCGGCTCGCCAATTCCCCCAGTCGTCCTCGTTCTCGGAAGGAGTTCGCTCATTTGAGGACGGTGAGTACGGACAATTCCAGAGGGCGCCCCAGCTTCCGGTGTTACTTGCCACTTCTGTTCCGGTGCCGGAGTCGTCTGCATGAGGGTCTTCCTCATCTTCAGGCTCCCCCACCGGAGTCGACACAACACTCCACTGGGTGCTTTCCGGCATCATGGCAATCGAGGTGAAACGCACAGAACAACGGCAAACAAGCACAGGTTCTAAGAGCCAACGTGTTGTTCAGGGCACCAAATTCGACATGCACGCCAAGCAACTACTCAAGCAACAGGCAAGCAAAACTCGACACGATATGGCGGGGCGAACGTGTGTCAAGGCCAACGGCGAGGCCGGGCGGGCTTGCGACCGACAACACTGCGGGAAGCGGGAGTACCCCCATGGCAAGTGTCTGCGGAACAATGCATGTCAACGCAAGGAACGTCAAGTCAACAACCTACAAGCACAACGTACAAGCCCAACGTGTGACAAGCCAACACAAGCCGAAGATCACAACCAAAATTCAAGCACGACACAAGGCAACACTCCCACAACCCACAACTTCAACAATTTGTCAACTATCTGCAAGCACAACATGCAAGCCTTACACGTGACGGACCAACGCAAGTTGACGAGCACAACCGAAACTGAAGCACAACACAACTCTTCACAACGCACCACACCAACGTTTTGCCAACCACTCGCAAGCACAACGAAAAGAGAAGGAAAAAAAATTGAAACCAAACCACCACGTTGTGCATGCATGTGTGGGTGCAAGCTATAGAGCCAAATGCTCACGGGGAACAAACGTCACCTCAAGAATTAAAGTCGCATCTTAACAGAGGCTATCCTAAGAGCCGCCTGCAACAGCAAGCTCGTTATTACGTTCACACACGCAAGCGGCGGCTGCGCCCGCCGGCAAGGCGTGGTCCTCAAGGCTGCGGCACATTGATGCAGCAGCCCCTGGTTGGGAGCTATGGCTAGCATGGCTGCGTCGGCTGGCACGGCATGGCGCCCAAGGCACAATGCGAGCTGCCTGTGACGGCGAGCTCATTCTCAATCAATCTATCTATCTATTTATCTATCTATCTAGGTAATCTATCTATCTATCTACCTATCTACCTATCTATCTATCTATCTATTTAATCAATCACCTATCTATCTATCTATCTATCCGCCTATCCAGCTAGCTAGCTAGTTCTCTATCCATCTCTCTACTACCTCTCTATCTATCTGTCTGTCTGTCTGTCTTTCTTTCTTTCTTTCTTTCGTTCTTTCTTTCTTTCTTTCTTTCTTTCGTTCTTCCTTCCTTCCTTCCTATCTGTCCATCCCTCTATCTCTCTATCTATCTCTCTATCTATCTACCAACCTGTCGATCTCTATCTATGTATCTAGTTATGTATCTGTCTGTCTATCTATTTATCTAGGTAGCTATCTATCTATCTACCTATCTTATCTATCTATCTTACCTATCTATCTATTTATCTCTCTCTATCTCTCTATCTATCTCTCTATCTAGCTATCTAGCTTTCTTGCCATCTATCCATATATCTATCTGGCACCATGTCTGTTCTAGCAATCTATCTAGCTATCTAATTATGTAGCTATCTATCTGGCTGTCTATCTAGCTATCTATCTTCTATCTATCTATCTGCTCGCTTCATCAAAATATCTACTTCGAAAACTACTTTTGTACTTGACTTTTCCCATTTTCGAGCTGCAGCTGGAGAAGTCTACTTCGAATACTACTTTTGTACTTAACTTTTGCGATTTTCAAGCTGCAACTGATAAATATACAATCAAACCTTCGATCACGAAAGTATTGCGCCTGCCACGAATCTGTACCTCACCTTGCGAAATTGCTGCGCCTGCCACGAAATCTGTACTTGACATTGCGAAAATGCTGCCCCTGCCACGAACTATGTACTTGACCCTGCGAAAATGCTGCCCCTGCCACGAAATCTGAGCTTGAACTTGCGAGAATGCTGCCCCTGCCTCTGTAAATGCGCCTTGCGCGTCCGTGCCAATGGAATTTGCGATGCGTCCCTGCCAGAAGTAAGAAAATGCCGCGCCTGCCACGAAATATGTACTTGACCCTGCGAAAGTGCTGCGGGTGTTATGAAACTTGTACCTGACCTTGCCAAAATGCTGCGCCTGCCACGAAATTCAAACCCTGCGAAACCTCCGTGTTGCTGTTACAGTGGGCCCCGCTCCGAGACCGTTCCAAACCCGTCCGAACCCGTCCGAACCCGCTCCGAGACCGTCGTCGGACAGGCATCGCGACCGGGGTAGCTTTCAGCCAGCCGGAGAAGCCAAAACCCGCAGAGGGTTGCTCTTTTTCGCGATTTCTATTCCCCCGCCACACGCGCATGCATGTTTTCTCGCATGCATCTATTCTTCCTATATCTCATCTTTGCGCAAGCTACCTTCAATTAGTATCCGTAACACGGAAGTTCCTTCTAAACTTCCTTTGATTATATATATATATATATATTATTGCATATGTTTGCATGCTGTGACATGCTGTTGTTTGCCTCACTGTTAGACCAGCGACCCTTCATGTGTTCCGAAAACGCAGACCCAAAACTCCGGGGTTAGCCTTGGTGTTACCCGTGCCTGGGTGTGGGTCAAAATGAAGCCACCAGGAATTGGACCGGACCGCAGGTTTTAGTCTTTGGTTACGTTTATCAGGGCAAGCCATTTTGGGGTTACCCTATTTTTGACCCACAGCCACCTGCCCATCCGTCCGCAAGTGTCCAACTCGGAGGGCTTCAAAGCCTCCTCTTGGCTTCCAATGAAATGGCCTCGTCCAAAACTCGCTTCCGATCGAGGTGATGCTTCACTAGGTCCTCCAGATTTGAGAGGTGCTCGAATAAGGGTACCCGATGTGTTTTTTTTAGTAGGGGAACCCTCCCAACCAAAAAAGGGTAAAAGGGCAATACTGGGGGACCTAGTTCAAAAGAAAGTACCCAAACTTTTGGTTTACCAAAATGGCGAAACTAAACCCGAAAAGTGGCTATGGGTCAAAACCCCGTGCCCCCAGTGAACATCCCAATCCAACCACTAAAATAGGTTCTAAAATGGGTGGTGAATTCACCTACCCCAAGATGGGATCCCATTGGTCTTGACCCACGTCCAGGTGTTTCTCAACTCCGGCACGGAAAACTCGAGTGAGAAAAGAAAAAGCGCTTGGCGCCGACCATTCGATCTCAGGGCCTAGCGTCAGTAGCCCCTTCTGGCCTTGGCTCGAAGAATCTCAAGGTATCCTTGGACCTTCGAGGAATCCCCCAAGTTACGCCAGCTCTGTGCAGCCCTCGCAAAACTCAAATTCTGGAAGCCACTGGCCAAAACCGAAGGGAGCCCACTGCAGAAGAAAGAGACGGCTGCGCGCGAATTCCCTATGTTGTACTGGCAGATGGTCCTCCGGCTGTTTGATTTCACGGCACCAAACCAAGTTGTGGTCGAACGCAGTTGCGGTCCTTGCGAGTATCCGCGGGGGCATTTTCTGAAGCAAGCATCCAGCAGGAGTACGGAAGCAGTCGAATCGAACATGGCGATTGATTCCCTTTGTTCTGGGGCAAAGGAAACCAGCTGCAATTCGCCATGGCTTCATTTGCAAGTCTTTTCCCTGAATGCTCTTTGTCGAGTTCCAGATCCAAAAGCGGCACAAAGGCCAAGGGAAGCACTCAACTTTCTCGGGGGCCGGGGGAAGCAAAATCATCATCGCAGGGAATGGCAAGGCCCTGCTTTCCCCAGTCGGTGAGCAATCCTGAGGGCCTAAGCTTTACTAAAACGAAGCCAAGGCCGGGTTTGCACGACTCTCGCTTAAAAAAACAACCTGGAGTAACCTGTTTGATCTCAGAAAATATGGGAGTGAACCTTGGATGCAACCATTCAAACAACCTCCGCATTCGCGAACCAGCAAGGAACAACTGACACCAAAACCAGCCCAGCGGCCAGGCAAAATGAGAATACATCGTGCCGTGGCTGTCGGAAACGTGGAAAGGGACTTGAGTCGCACTGAAAACCTTGGGGCCTGATCTCAAGACAGGAGAGCCCAAAGGCGCACCGATTGCAAAAAATGCTAGGACTAGCTCCTCGCCTTCAACTATGGTGGACCTTCTTTTGTGTCAACTTCGGCACCTGGTGGACACCTTCTGGTAATATTTTTTATCCAGTCGTTTTTTAGGAGAGGCGGCAATTTGGGTTTCACAAAGGGTTTCCCTTTGACATGACCAAAAATGGCACCCTCAGAAAGGGCACCCTTGAAAATGACGGAAGGTTTGCTGATTCTGGAGGGTTGGACTCTTGGCTGACGTTGGAAGGGGAGCAAAAATTTAAAGCTTAGCAGTTAAGTGGTTGGATTGCAACCACTAAACCACAACAAGCAAAGATGCAAAAATGGTTTCCCAACAACAACCATGGACTGGAGCGGTCACTCTCACTCAGCTCAAACCGGAAACCGGAAACCGGAAAATCGGGATCGATCGTGCCGAGCCGCACTCGAACCGCGCGGCGGCCTCACCTGAGACACCCACGGTGGGCGCTTCTGAGGGTCAGGATATGGGTGTGGGTCAACAATGGGTACCCAAAAGGCCCAAAATGGAACCCTGGGTAATGGAACATTGGACTAAGATCTGCGGTCCCCTGGTGGTCTAATTTTGACCCATAGCCATATGTGGGTCCAAGCACCTTGATGTACTGAAAATAGATGTAGAAGGGCACTTGGCACCTGTCAACCCCCCCCCCCGTCTCACCCCCCCCCTCCCCAAAAAAAAAGAGAAAACAAGCAGGAAAAGCCTGCGATTCTTCCGCGGATTGGCCCTTCTGGGCGAATTCTACTTTGTGAACCATTCCAACTGGTGAAAGTCCAGCGGCTTGCCCGGCCGTGCCGAAACTCCGAGCGGCATCCACCGAGTTGACCTTTCAAGCTGACACATGGCTATGTCTTTCTTTGAGGCTACCTTTTTGGGATGGTTTTAAAGGGAAACAATGAGACCAGCAAGTTTTCGGGGGTCCGATTCCTATGTCAAGGCAAACCCGGTTTGGAGGGCTCTCTGTTCGAGGGTGCCCTTTGCAATCCTCAAAAGGACAACTTAAAGGGAATTCCTCGCCACCCGGGTGGCTTACCCCAAGCCGGAGGACTGCCGAGTTGCACCTGGGTGTTTCTCAGGGTCCCCTTGGACAGTGAGCCAAGTCCAAGCGCGAGGTTTACTGCAAGTCGTCCCCCGATTTTGAGTGGAAAACTAAGAGGGTCAGCTGGAGAAACGTCTTGCCGCCCATTCCAGGCAAACTCCAGGTTCCATGGAAGCTCCAAGGACCTTCTGAGAACTTCCGGCTGTTAGTCTGAGCGTGAACAGGCGAGTGAATACATGCCAACGTTGCCCAGGTCGTCTCATGGCATTCACCAACAAATCTGGAGGGGTAAGCCTTGGTAGCTGGTCCTGGCTCAACCGCAAAGGGCGGTCTTGCTGAGTCCGCTAGCCCCAAAAGCCCATGTGTGCTGCGTCCCAGGTTTGTGGATGCTACCCCCAAGAAGAAACAAACTCAAGAAGCAGGTTCTATCCGCAAGAGCCCCAGAACCCTCCTTTTGAACCCTCCTTTTGAACCCTCCTGAAAGCTGCCCCAAACCACCCCTTCTCGCGCCTATCTGGAGTTTTAGACCCCACAGCTTCCAGCTGTCATCTGTTGGGGGGGAAAAAACAGGGCTTCCATGTGTCCAGCAGTGAAATCGATTCACTTTCAAACCAACAAGAGAAATACACAACATAATCATGTGGGTATGAATTTTAGTGAGGAACCCGTGGTGGACATCATTTAGGCGGGGATTTATGTCCACCGGCCACTGTTGAGGTGGTGCCCAATCAAAAACATCATCGCCATTTCAGCCAATGAATCACAATCAAAACCCGATATTCAACTGGTCTACCCAGAACCATGTAAAGAATTTCGAAGGCGGATATCCGCAGCTATTTCTGGTTGGGATCGTCCCTTACTAACCTTCATCTACCCGGGTTTTGAGGACGTGCCTCAAATGGACGCTGTCAAAGCGCTCAGCCCCTCCGCGGGTTGACTCTCGCGCTGGGTCCCCGGCTGCTCAAAGAGGCTCGCATGCCATCCGGGTGATCCGTCTCCTCCGTGGTGCCTCACGGAAGCGGGGGAGAGGAAGCTCCGAGCCAAGATGTCGGACCACCTTGGTTTCTTTGAAAGAACTCACTTCCGAACAGGAGACTGGGGCAAACAAAGCAAGCAACTGGTTTCGTTTGCCGCTGAAATGGCCCAAACCCAAACAGCTCTTAAAGTTCGAAGATGGATCCCTCACTCCAAAAGGGGCCTGAGCCGTTATTTTCTGATCACCCCCCCCCCCCCCCAAGTGAATCCGGAAGGGGGGGGGGGGGGGCAAGGAACTTGCCACATTCTTGTGCCCTGTTCAAGCGACAACGGGAGGGGGGAAGAGCTGGTAAGAGTCCTTTCTTGCGCAACCGGTGGGTTCTAGTTCGCAGTTGGAAATTCTACCAAAGCTCTCAGTGATAAACACCACACGGCTCACCCCGGGCCCCCGGTGATTGTGCGGCTTTGCGCTGGCCTTTGGAATCGCTGGATGTCAAGTTCAGGGCACTGAACTAATTACCCGCAGATCCCCGGCAAAAGGTTTAGCTTTTAGCTGGTTACCCCCCTAAACTCCAAAAACCTAAAAACCTGAGGGGCTGGCGGATGGCTGAGAGCCAGCGTCAGGCTCTCTTTTTGTGTTCAGCTAACATGGTGAGAGTCCAAGCTTGCGATGTGGCTTAACAAATCAAGCATTTTTTGTCAACGGTATTCTATTCTACCTCCGGTCGGCTCCCGGAGGTAGCCCGATTCCAGTGCTAGGCAATGAGACGCGTGGACTCCCTGAAGGGTATGTCTGGAGGGTGGGGCCGCCCATTGGTTTAAACATGTTTAAACCACTGGGCTGGGTATGATGATTCTTCCCTTGCAAAGGTGGTGTTTAAACCACACTTCGCCATGCGCCATTCCTTGGGGTTTTGCGGTCGGCAGCCCATGACGGACCCGCCCCGGCCTTCATGGAAGCCCACTGACCTCAGCATTCTGAGCCATGGGGCCCCGAAGAGACTTCAACCCCGGAGAGTCCTCCCGCAAGAGAAGAAAGCAAGGTGCCCAGGTCCTGCTTGTCCTCGAAAACAACCAAGCAACTTTGAAGACCATGAGAAAACCGTCTCTGCCCAAGCCAGATTCGGCTGATTCGCTTAGCAAACAAGGCGACTGAGTTTCCCGGCAATGTAACCTTGCACTATATCTAGGTGTCAAAACATTAAAGAGACGGATGATGAGATATGCGGGTTGTTAAACCCATCGGGTGAAGATTACTATGGCAAAGGCCGCCCCGCACAAGAGGAATGGAACATGTGACACGCACCCCGGCAGACTGGGACTTTCCGAGGCCGATTTCTTGCTTGGAGGGTCCCAAGCTCGGTTTGACTCACAAAAACTAATCTGATTCTGCGCTCGTCTTGGGGACGCTGGCGCTTAGGGAAACGCAACAAAATTTTCATGGAGCACCGGTTGGGCATTTTCAGGGCCCTAGCAATGCGTCCTGCTTCCTCCGTCCAGGCGTTGCCACACACCAGAAGTTACGCTTCATCCAAAGACTGAGTTCACGGAGTATGTATGCATACACATTCACAGGTCACAGATATACACCTTGCATAGATATACAAGTAAAACGATATGCAAATACACAAACAAGCGGGCAGAAAATACACAACTCAGGCATACATTCATGTGTATATATATACAGTATATTTACATATTTACATATACACAGTATATTTACATATACACAGGCATGCGAGCATACATACATTACTACACAACGGCCAGCACATGTGTTTTTGTTGGAGTTGGTACCCCGAAAGGACCATCTTGGGGGAATTCCTTTAAAAAAGACCCTCGCGTTTGGGTTCTATAATTCTAGAATCCTGGAGGGCGCACCAGGAGGGTTTCGAAGAAAATCACAAGGCGAAGGCCGAACCTCTCCCGGCCACGAATCAGTATGCCGAGGGCAGCACGATTTACCTGCAAAGTGTCCGATGGCAAATGCTCGCAAGCGATTCTAGGGCTGTCCTTTTGTAAACCGTCGTAAAGAAGAACTTAGTCGAGAACTTTCAGTGTCGTTGCTTTAAACATTGCCAATGAGAGCCTACCTGGACGGGAAATCATACTCCGGGCTCCACAAAGAGAACGGTCTTTCAAAGGACAACCACCACAGCGATTCCTGGAATCATGTGGGCATTTGCAAACCTACGGAGCCGAGTTTGCACTTGTTGTTGGACTGACTCACACACAGGGAAGTAACAATCAGGCAAACCATGCTAAAGCTCGGGTTGCCCGACCGCACAAATGTCTGTGCGAAACGCAGGTACTGGCCAATAGTACTCAATAGTATATGGAAAGATTGCTTTCGAAACTGGGGATCCCCAAAATCATCGAGCTGGTTCACCTTGTTCACGCTTGTCAAGGCAAACAGAAAGGACATCTCAATCTAGAAAAACATCCATGGGTCAAAGCTAGGCTCCTCAGTCTGCTTTGCGTCCCCTCCATGGATGGGTTCCCAGCTTTTGCACGTGAAAAATTTGCTGCGCCGTAATCTCTAGTGGCCATTTGAAGGCGCATCATGGGCGCATCTCGAATCCTACCGATAGCTCCTGTGTATGGTTCATGTGCATTGTTAGTGTTAGCAATGTTCGCACAAGAACAAAGTTCTCTGCGTCTCCACTCTCAAGAAATGCAACGTCGTTTCCTAGCTAGCCTGCAGTACGCTCCTGCAAACCTCCCAGCTCCACATGATGCAGGAAGCTGGAGATGCTGGCTGGGGATGCTGATGCTGGTTGGGCATGCGGGAGATGCTGGCTGGAGATCCATTTGGGTTGGTTGGTGGAGGGCCTGGGCTGGGCGGGCTGGGATGCGCCTTGCTGGTCTTGGCCCAAGGGTAGTCTCAGACACGTCAAATTAGGCAGCCGGACTGCTGCTGGGGCCTGGACTGGGCGGGCTGGGCTGGGCCTTGCTTGTGTGGGTTGCTGGTTGGGCTGGGCTGTGAAGCAAGTCTCAGACAGCAGGAGGTATTTTGGGGTGTTGCCATGCTCAGCGCATTTGCGCCAAAAATGGGCCCATGGAGCTGGACGCCGACGAACCCCAAAATTTCAAGGCCCGCCGGACAGGATCTTAGGGCCAGCAGACATGGTGAGGGGGGGCTGCAAGTTTTGGGAAGCGAAATCTGAGCGCCCTTGGCCCTCTTGGGGCTGAGGCGAATTTCAGTGTTTGGAGTTGTTTTTACGGAAAGCGATCGTTAGGTCGATAGGAGTCAGATGCCGAGCTGATGCCGGGGATGTCGGAGATGCATTTACGAGCGCCTTGCACAAGAAGGAAAACCTGAAAGCCAACCCCGAAAATGCCAAAAGCAACAGCAACAACTTTTGAAGCCAGAAGGTTTGCGGTTCCGCCCAACAACTGCCATGAACTCGGAGGGATGATCTGTCTGCAAACCATCACCGGAGAAAAAAAAAAAAAAAAAAAAAAAAAAACGGAAAGGGAACACATGCTCTGCTGCTTGCAGTCGAACCACAGACGCTGCGCGCTCGGCTACGCGCAGCGTTTACAGTAAGAAATCCAAGGAAAGGAGCTTGTGCTCATAGTATACATCCAGATGGTCTCGCCATAGGCAGATACATTCCACAACAACCCTTGAGGGACACGCAGGATTAACATTGGACTCCATTGGACTGAAGCCAAAGAAGAGCCGTAAAGAATCCATGCCAAGGTCATTCGGGCATTGGGGGTTTGCTTCCGCGTTTTGAGAGCGTCCCTTCGATGAACCCCTGACTGCCTTGTCACTTTGAAGGGGATTCCCTTGGCACCAAAGAAAGTGGCTTGCCACCTACCAACAATTCTCCAACCAAGGCGAGCCCGGTCGAGCCTCTGGTCTCCTGCGGGCCGAGCGAACGGCCCGCAAAAAGGTCCCCGTATCAGAGCGCAAAGCCGATACACCACCCCACCCCTTTGTGGTGTATTTGTATTTATATATATATATATATATACATATACATATATATATATATATGTACACATACATATACATATATATATATACAAATCTATATACATATATACATATACATATACATACATCTATATAATTCACCTCCATACCTCTCAGTCCCACCCGCAAAGCCCAAAAAGCAAAGGCCAGAGAAGCCGATCCAGTCCGGATCTTTGCCGAAAGGCGCCCCTCAAACCAAAGGTCGGCCTTAAATGACCAGGTTTTTTCGAGTAGAGAGGTGCTCGCATAGTACCCGATTCATTTTTCCGTAGTCTATTTTGGTAGGGGAACCCTCCCCCCAAAAAAATGGTAAAAGGTACTACTGGGGGGACCTAGAGGAGAATCCACGCCTCGATTCGTCAGGCGGCTGTTCTGTCGGAACGGCCGGCCGACAGGCGGCCCTTCAATTCAACCCCGGGCTTGTCTTGAAAGACCCACCTTGGTTCAAAGTCAAGGGGTCCCCATTGATCTCGAATCCCGTGCTCGCTCACGTACTTTGTTCGACCAACGGGTCCAGCGAACGCTACCCCCCAAGGATAATGTGGCGGCCCGACGTCTCGAGCGATCCATCAGCCCGCCACAGTGAAGCAGGGCGGAACAGCGATATCAGCCACGAGTACTGCAGGCTGTCAAATAGCAAAATAAACACATGAGCTGAGTAAAACCCCCAGGTCATTGGCAAAACTGGGAATGTCTAGATTTTGGCCGTGTGAAAAGAGAATCGTCAGGGTCATTCAAGAGCAAGCAAGTGTCCCTTCTTGGAGAATCGTTCGGTCAAAAAGCTGCAACCGTTCTACTTCGGGGGGTGGGAGAAACAAAAAGTTCCCGTCCGGGGGGTGCTACGCTTTGAGCATCCAGGAACCTCCTTCGCGTAACAAAAAGAGGAAGGGTCAGCAGGCGAGGACTCCCAATCTCAGGCCAAGTCGAGATGAGCAACATGAAGCCATAGTTCTAAAGAAACCGGCCCGTACCTTTGACAGCAAAAGCAAAACATAAAAATTTCAACCCAGCCAATCCGGGCCAATGATCATTCATCCTCCCAAATGGAAGCACTCCAAAGGATGGCGCCTGAGGTCACAACCCACTCTGCACCCAGATTGAAAACCCTTATTTCCAAAAGTTGCAATCGCATGCACTGTACCAGACGAGGTGCGGTTGTCCTGGTAGGCAGGCGAAGGCAGTCAAAGTAGCGGTTGAAGAGGTTGTCATCGACAGGCCCTCGGCGCCTTCTGCAAACCCAAGGCCAGATAGGCTTGCTATACACACTTCCGACAATCTGGAAAGCTGATGTGCCTCGTCTCTGGCCAATCTCCAAGGGCTAGTGCTTCCAGCCACGTCAACGTGGAGCATGGAGTGGAGGGCCGGGCGTGGGCTCCAGACAGAGAGAGAGAGAGAGAGAGAGCGCCACTTGCAACACGATGGGATTGAAAGCCCTCCAATCAGAGGTGCAATGTATATATATATATATGTGTATATATATATATATAATTGATATACATATACCTGCACCTTCCGGGGGTCCAAAATTTTAGGCGTTGGTCAAAAAACATGTGTTTTTTGCCTTTGGTATGAAAAAATGCTTTTAAAGCGAAAAAACGCCGGCGGTCCTATTTGTTTGCGCCGCGGTCGGGAATATTCGCCTGTTGGTCGGGAGTTTTCGCCTGTTGGTCGGGAATTTTCGCCTGTAGATTCGGGGAGATTTCGCTTAACACCCAAATTGAGAAAAAAAAAGCCGTAGGCAACAAACACGCGCAATTGCCCCAAAAAGCAATTCGTAGCGAAAAGGCGGAAAATTTGAGCATGCAGGAAGATCCAGGTATACACACAGCCCCTCCCCCCTAAAAAAAAGAAGGCCCGATTGGTCTCCACACCAATCAGCAGCCAAATCCCCAAACCACAAGCCGCGCCAGCCATGCCCCCTCCTCAAGCTGCATCTCCTTGGCTATGTCGCTGATGACCTTGGCCAGCCCGCTAAGTGAGGGTGATTCCAGATTCAAAAAGAAAAGCGAGATTACGCTTGGACATGTTCTGCTAGTTCAGCAGCTTGGCTTGTCTTTGTTCTGAGCTACTGCTGCAATTGTTTGGGCTCTGGAGCGGAGCGCAGACTTGGGGCAATTGCTTTTGGATGCCACGATTTCTCAAACATATCCCCCAGCACGACATGCTCGAGTCAACTTGAATGTTGGAATGCACTTCTTTGAAGCTCGAGTCAGTCTGCGTCCGTTTGCGCATGCGCTCGCGCGTCCAAAAACACAAAAACACCTGCCATGCCCTGCAGGTGCTCGCAGGCGTTTCGAGTCGATCCGAGGCCCGCTGACCCCCGGATTTGCGGACCAGACCCCAAAGGAGGAATCTGACAGAGCCGGATTTGCATTGTATTCCCCCCAACAAAAAATTGCCCTCTGTGCCAGCTGTCCTGAAAAATGATACAACCTTTGAGTGCTTCCATAAATGCCCGGGTGGATGAAACATGCTAGGTGCTGGCAAAACCGGGATCCAACATGGCTCTCTTGCACAGCAACAAGATCCTGTGTTTGGTCCTGATCATTTGGGGAGCATGTTGAAAGCCAAGTGGATTTTTTGCCAAGGCCTTGCAAAGCAAGCGACAAACAGCCTTGAAGAGGCACCCGCCAGCCCTCGCACCAACATGTAATGACAAAGGGATGACAAAAGGATGCCTTCCAATGCAAAATGGTCCTCCAGGTGCTTCCGTTGGGCTTCCTGAGCTCTAGCTATCTCCCTCGTGCCGTGCGTACGGGCTTCACTTCCAGGGCCCCTGGCAGCTGCCAGCGCATGCGGCTCCGCCGCCGCGGTCTGGCGGTTGGCTCAGAGGCTACAAGCCCAGCTCTTGGAAGCCAAAGAACGGGGAGTCCTCCCTGAAAGCTGCTGGGTGCAGCTGGAACCCTCGAAAACCAGAGCTGGGTGCGTGTCTTTTTTGAGGCTCCCGACAGGCGGGCTTCGGGAAATGAAAGGGAAAACCCATGTGGGTTCAACCTAAGACACAGATTTGCCGCAAAACGCGTTTTGAGGCATCCCCGTCCACGGATAGCAAGCTTACCCCGGCCAGGCCAGGGCATCTCTTGGGACAGATTGCCGGTCTCTTCCTTGCTCTGTATGGCCATGGGTCAAAATCCCGTACCCCCAGTGAATACATCCCAATCCCAACTAAAATAGACTAAAATGGGTGGGGCACATACCCCAACATGGTAGCATTGGTTTTGAACCACAGCCATATTGAGTGTCCCCCGAATCTCTGGAATCAACCCCTGGAGAGAAGGTCTTTTGCAGGCTGGGAGCCTCACCTTCAGAACCATGGCCATGCAAACCAAGGGTGTTTTTGTTTGTGGTTGATTTAAAAGGAACGCCCTCCGCCCTTCTCCCTTTCCCCCCTTCTCCCCGAAACAAAGGAAAAAGGCACCTTCCATTTGCCTGAGTCCCCTGGAGCAAACATAAAAACATGTGGCCAGTGAAATCGATTCCCTTTAAAGCCAGGGGGGAAAATCAACAAACATAATGTTCATTTCAGCAAATGAAAGCTGACCACCAGGGGTTGCTGGATTTCCCCGAACGTTGATCACTGGATTTGCCCTTTCAGCAAATGGCAGGCACCCCAATGGGGACAATCCAAAAAACACCCCTCCGCCAAAACAATTGAACGATGAAACATATGTCCAATAGTGAAATCGAATCCATTCCAAAAAAGACGGTGCTCATTTGAGCAATCACTGTACGTCACCTGATTTGAGCAAATATCCCCTTGAAAACCTGGGGAATGCAAAAAAAAACAGATGCGCATTTCAGCAACTGAAAGGCACCAACCCTCCATTAGCTCAAGTGCCCTGGAAAAAATATCAATACTTCCAGCACTGAAATCGATTCCCTTTAAAACCAACAAGGGAAAACAACAAATCATGATTAGAGTTCGGCCCAGATATAGAATGTGTATGTTGTTGTTTGCTTCACTTTGAGTTGTTGTTTGCTTCACTTTGAGTCACTGGTAACATGTAAAATTTATCCTAAGTCTACCCCAGAAGTTTACAACAAATGGGTATGGATCAAAATACACCTACCAGGGGACCGCAGGTTTTAGTCTTTGGTTTACTAGGGCAACCCATTTTAGGCACGCATTTTTGACCCACAGCCAAATGAGTCATAATCAAAACCTGGTATTAAAATGGTCTACCCAGAACCATGTAAAGAATATTTTGTGGTTGGGATTGTCCCTTCCTAACCTTCATGTACCCGAATCGGTTTTGAACGCGGCTCCCTTACTTGCCCAAAAGACCTGGAGCTAAAAGGTTAACCTTTTGGGAACTTCACTAAAAATCGACCAAAATAAGAAAACCAAAAGGTCAAAAGGTCGATTCGCTTTGGGCAAGTGAGCCCCTTGGCAAAATGAAAAACAAAGTATACCTAAGCCAAAGGGAAGCGACACGCTGCGATTTCTGCCCGACGGCTCATCGCCTTGAGCGCCTCCGCCTCATCCAGCGAGGCCTGGAGCTGCGCTCTCGCTTTGCCCACGCGCCAGGCGGGGGGTGCGGGCGCTGGGGCGCGACACTCCGTTGCTTTGGGGCTCTTCCGGTTTTTGGGAGGTTTAAGGCAAACCCAAAAAGGTGAGTTTAGGGAAACCAAAAGAACAAGAGGAGGCCACCGCACTTCGCTTGGATGATCCAAGCTTTCACAAAAAAGAAAAGAAAAGACAGACCCCGATGAGGCCAGGGATCCCAAAACCCCGGAAATCCTTCCGGAACCCTTCCGGAACTCTCCGAGAGACCCAAAACTTCCAACGTCCAGCTGCGAAGAAACAAAAAAAGATATGGCCCTCCGACGCTAGCAAAACGCAAAGCTGAGTTTTTTTCCAGCCGAAACGGTTCGGCTGGCCACGGATTACCCCCTCCCAACGAGACTATGCGCAAGAGAAGATGACGGATGTTTCTATTTGTTTGCTTTTCCGCAAGCCCTCGAGAAGGTCTTTAAAAACCGGAAACAGGTCATCACCTGTTCAGGGGAACTTGCCAAGGAAGCCCCCTGGCGGTGTTCGGTTTTCCAACCCCAAAAGGTACCTACAAGACTGGATCTTAAGACTGGATCCGGCCACTCACGTGAGCATGTTGAGGCTCTCTCAAAACTGCTCGAGCTGAATGTTGCAGAGAGTCTTGGGTTACCATTGATTTTTTGACGAGCGCAACGCTCAAAAGGAATGGCTCCCCATAGAAAATACTCACGTCTTCGCTCCTTCAAACCAGTACCCTCAGACCTAATGCTGGTCTCTCCTTGCTGAGGCTACCCGCAAAAGAGAAAGGAGTAACTAAGCACCCCCTCAAGGTGCTCACTCTTGATGACCATGACTCGACTGGTTTGTTCGGGTTGGTTATCTTTTCTGAGAGTACAATTCAGATGGCACAATTTCCACTATGGTACGTGAGGGAGATAAGTAAGCGGTCAACATGGATTGAAATCGCGTCATCTACTTTCAGTCTGGTGAAAATTAATAGCTCTCACAATAGAGCACCAAAACAATGTTGGTTTTCCTTCTGGCTTCCTTCGCCCCAATAACCCAAAACAGGTGTCATATACTTTCCCCCTGTTCCCATCGTTGCTGCTTTTTTTTGCTGCGACATTAGGACTGCTTGCCGCTGTCAGGCATTGGTGTTCTCCTCCACGTAGTAGGCTACTCCAGGAAAGTTTGCCCAGAAACAATCCCAAGCACGGCCAACAACACCCAAAAGTCTGAGTGACTAGGCTTCGCCGCGCGATTCGGCTTGCACGCAATCAAGATCAAGCATTGGCGAGCCACAAATTCGCTCACATTCGAGAAAGCTCAAGCTCAGCGGCCAGCGAGTTTTTGCATGTGGAAGCCTCAGGCCTCCTTTTGCTCCATTCTGCGCGTCACCCATGGCCCGACGTGCGACACCAAGGATTCCCTTGCCACCGCCGAGCCAGAGGAACCTTCCGGTTGGCAAGCTGAAGAAAAGTTTTTGAGCGAAGCTCCTGTCAGACCTCACTGCTGCACAAAACCCATGTCGAGGTGTACGGCTAAGCCAAATCGTGCAGATCGCTGCAGCAAGCGCCCCGCCACAGGTCGGCTTGAGCGCGAGCAAGTAGCAAGAAATAAATCCCGCAATCTTGGTTACCCCTCTGCAAAAATAACTCTCCGGGCATCCACGCAAAAAAAGGGAAGAAGTTCCTCCCAAGGTCCGTTACCAGTCCCAAGGTCCGTTACCAAAAAGGCTCCGGTGTTGTTTTTCTTGGGGAAGCACATATATTTGGAACTCACCGGCTTCCTACGGAAAAGAATTCGCCCTACAGCCACTCCCCGCCTGGAGGCGATTGATCTCGGAGCGCATCTCCGCCTGCACTCTGGTCAGCTCCTGGGCCATGGGTGGGTCTCCTTCTTGTTCCGACATGGAGGGAAACGACCCAATGTCCCACAAAAACCGGCAAGGTGCAACCCAATGTCGCACAAAAACCAGGGAGCTCTGGGGTGGGGGGGGGAGGGGCTGGGGGGGAGGGGCAACCCAACTTTTGTATTGTGAGAATTATTGAATTTCCCTTTGAAACGATCCAAAAAGGCATGCTATCCTCACTGTTGAGCCCTCTGTGGGTTGCGTGGGACTGTCTTAAATGAGCTGGGACCCCCTGTGCAACCGAAACACAAAAAGGGGGAGCCGAGCTTTAAAGTCTGCTTACCTTAGACCCGACAGCAACTCGAATCCCCGTCCAGGTTACAGTTCAAATGGACGAAATCCAGCACCACCTAAAAAAGCCTGGAATGATAAGATAAAGCGGTGCGAAGGGATTTCGTCCAGTGAAACCCTGCGGCGGGCCCCGTGAACCCAGAAACTGCTAGCCAAGGCCTTCCATGAGAAGTCAATGGATCCGAACCAGATGCCACGCTTGGGATGCGAAAGATCCCTTCGGAGCAACTTGGCTCAACCAGAACCCCAGCTACGGTTGTGAGCGTGAAGCCCCCGCTCCAACTCTCCCAGAGCCCACATCATGCCCAAACTGATTCTCCCCCGGGACCGTCAAAGTCCGAACCTCGACTCCCCGCTACAAACCTACGCCCTCCAAGCTGCAACCTTCAACGACAATTCATCTTTTCTTGGCTCCGCTTGGAGGTTCCTGGTGTTGCGGCGAAACGAGCATCGTGGGCAAAACATGGTTTTGGAGGCGCCGAACGTCCTTCTGTGCCGATGTTGCAACGGCCGAGTGGAACCGACCAACTCGAAAACCAGTAGAATTCACCACTTCGATCCTGGTTGTGCAGGGCTGCCAGCTGAGACAAAGCCGCCTCAAAGTTCGGCGTCTCCTGACAAAGCTCCAGGGAGCCTCTCCAAAAAAGCAAAACGAAAAAACGCCCCGACTCTTGGCAAAGACTCACATGGAAGGAACCGGCGTGATGCTTGCTTGTTTTTGCTCGCAGTCAAGGGCATTTATGCCACGATCTCAGGGAAGGGGTTCCTTCTCAACAGCAGCCCAAGGAGATCGCGGGGCTCACCGGGATGCAGACTTCTCGTGTAACGTGTAGATGACTCAATGCCCCTGGTGAGTCCTTGTATTTCTCACCCAAACAATGCACTCGTGATCAACTGGCCCCCGCGCTGCAATGTCTGCAAGGCCCATCCGAGAAAACAAGAAACCCTTCGATGCTCCTGTTCCGGGATGGACATCATGTTGGGATCCTGGCACTGCCAGGGGTCTCTCTTTTTCGCCCCCAACAAAACCTTCCTCGAGCCGCTTTGGCGGGATTCCTGGGCTTCCCGGATGCAACCACCGGGATTGGTTTATCTTGACGCTTGTAGCAACCCGTTGTTTTGCACTCAATCGCTCATGCAAGTCCAAACTTTTGTGCAGCTCAAGACTTGAACAGTTGCAGCTGAAATGTCTATCAATCCAAAAGTTAGCCATCGCGTTTGGCCACCCGTTCCAGGGCATTCGACAGTGGTCCTGCAGCCACGTTTCTGGGGTAAACTATAACGCACTCTCCTCCTGCCTCTCTCCCCCCTGGCAGTCAGGTTCTCTCTGAACCGCTTGAACAGAACAGACAGAACAACCAAGCTCCATCTGAATGGGAGTACAAAGGGCAACGACTTTCTCCAAGAAGGCAGTGCGGCTTCCAAAAAGCAGCACTTGTTCCAGTGCCAATGGGTGCACTCTGATCACTGCCTCAACTTGCAGACTTTGGCCCATCCGAATTCACTGAGGCCCTGGCTTTCCGCTTGCCGTGAGACACGGCCGTCACATGCGCGTCGCGATTTTGGAACGCAAGTGGTATTTTTGCGGGTTGGTGGCAGAGACTGAGCTCCAAGACGGTCCAAGCTCCAGTGGGTCCCGTGGGTCCCTGGGATTTCCATGGGCCGTGAGTCTCATGTTGCTCCCTGACTGCGCACCTCGCGAGCTGCGGGACGGGGGGCTTCGCCAACTTGGAACTGGTGTCCCCAAAGCCCGTGTCCCACTGGCAATGTGAGTGAAGATGGGCAGCCTGCCCCTTTTTTCCGAACAAAACCAAACATGGTTCCGAACAAATTATGCTGCTTCACAGGGTTCAGGCTACAAATAAGAAATGAGGAGGAAGAACTTGAATAACAAGGAAATTACATAAAACCAGAAATGAAATTAACAATTTACATAATAGACATCTTACAATGAAAACTTCTAGAGAACGACATGTGAGATTCGCATAAGACAGACCCTTAAAACGTAACCGTCACTTTGGACGTCGCAACCCGCGAGTGGCGTCACTACTAGTTGACATGACATGAGTCTTGGAACTGGGGCATTGTGTTTGACTGCTTCTTCAGATGACCCAATTCAGAAAATTAAAGAACCCTTTTACCTACCGCTTTGGGGTGACTTTGATGGCAACTAAAATCATGCGGGCGGAAACCCGGGAACCTGAAAACCTAGAAGAGTCCAAAGCAAAAACAAAAACCCGATCCTTCGCTCAGATTCGATCCAGCTATCCAGGAAACCGTGCCCATTGGCGGTTTCTTACTTGCCCTGGGAGTACACATTCTTGGTTGAATTTGAATGCAAACGTCACGCAAACCCAGCTACTGCTTGATTAAAGAGGAGTGTCCTTGGTAACACAGAAAATCGGATTCCCAACCCAACTCGTTTCCCACAACCAGTAACAGTCGACCGGCAATACCCGGCAATACCCATTGCTTGCACATACCAGTAGAGTGGGTTTACAAACGAAAGGGATACATCATGGTTACCGACTATAAGGGTAGGCTGTTCAACAATGAAGGCCTGGAAAATCCTAAGCTCCCGGAAAACCACTAACAAGGGGACCAAATCCCCTTGAACAAACGCTAGGAAAGGATTAAGTGCTTCTAGCAACATTGGTGTTGTTTGTGGTTACCACAAGAAAAAAAAAAAAAAAAAACAGCAAACAGGACTCCGCAAACGGCAGCCGCGCTTTCGGAATGGATAATATACTTCACAGTTGCTGCAGCTAGATCCTGTTCGTAGGAGAGTCCTTTTCAGAGTGGATTTACTTGAGGGCAAACGCCCCCACCCCACCCCCCGATTGGAAAATCCGAACTACATGGTGAAACTTGAAGGGCCGAAACCCAAACTGACTTGAAGTTTGGTCGTCCACAGATTGGCACAAAACTCCATTTGAGTGGATGACACAGCCACTCAGTGACTCAGACCCCATCCCGGCGCACTGGAGGCAGCGACTTTTTGTCACACAACTTACACCAGGGTTGGGCCAAATTGCTCATGATCAAAACCTCTCAGGTTCCAGTTGCCATCCGGTTGCTCATTCGGCCCAACCCCGCTTTACACCATCTCTGAGGCTGGGTGCCCGACTCAACTCTGCGAAACCTTCCAAAGGTCAGCGAGGGACACCCTGTGTTCCCAGTTGCGGTGGAATGGTCCTTTCCAAACGTGGTCCCGATTTGTTTTGGGTAGGATTTGCGGTCAAGGTTGCCCTCTTTTGGATGGTTCTTGCAGCGAAACCCAAAGGAAGCTTCCCACTTGGAGGGAACTCACCACCCTATCACATGTTGGCAACCCTGTTCGAGTCTCTGAGAAGACCCAGAACAGATTCTATCTAACTCCACCTTGCATCTAACAAATTGTTCTTTGGTTTCCTTTTTCAGGACATACTCATCTGTCTGTGGCTCAATAAAATATACCCAAATGGCACCCTGGGCAAATGGAAACAAAGATCAAAACCTGTGTAACCCTAGTTCTTGGATTTTGAGCCACACCCATCTACTTTGCCGTGGTCGATGCAAGCCTTTGGGATTCTCTAGAGGATGCTGTCGCCTGAAACCGATTGGGCCCCAACGGACATCCAAATGGAGGGGGTAGAAGTTGCTACCCGCCTGTCCACGGCAGGCCAGGGAACCCAGCAGAGAAAGGGTCCCTTTTAAAGGAGATTCTTCTTCCAGGACCCCGAAAAATTCAGTCAGGCTCCATGTTAGTGGACAGGAGGGGAAGTACATCTTCAATGGGCGAATGGACTTGATCTTAACGTGTTTGAAGGACATCAGCCTGTTCAGGCGTCTCTGCTTTGGGAAACACTCAAAGTAAAGTGTTGCTTTTGGTTCACGAACCCGGCTGACAGCGTCTTCTTGGAGGACGATCCCAGGTGGTAGGCAGGTTATGACATCTACCTCATTGGGATGACGTCTTCCTGATCTGGGATTGATTTAAAAGTAGTATCCGACTGAGGCTTATTGGGTAGAAACCGGGGTCGGTTCCCTTGCTTCTGCGCTCTACCACGTGGGATGGTCTGAACGCCGTGTGGTCTTCACAGGGCGTTGCACCCGGCGAGCCCTGCTCCTTCAAAGCGGGGCGCGACGGGGTGACGGCGTGCGGCAGCCGCTCTCGCCAACTCAGCCGTTCACGCTAAGCGCCTGGTCTGGCAGAGGCGCTGGCACCCAGCGGTTGCAACATGTGCTTGACAGCAGCTAGTTGTCATGGATCCTTTGAAAGGAACACCTACCGTTCTCACCGGCGTGAACATGAGATAGTTGGCACGATCACGCCAACCGAGCCCTTTCAGGGACATTGCTTTAAGAGCCGAAGAAAAGTTCAACCCAAATGGCTCCATTTTCCACAGTAGATATCCCTGCGGGCTTTCCCAAGCCTGGGTTGCGATGGTTTTCGACCTGGCGGTGTTCATGGAATCACTGACCATTTGAAAGGTTCCGACGAGTGTTCGAATGCCTCATCCAAAGCAGAACAAAAATCCAACAACACCAAGAACAGTGTGAGGCTCCAGATTAGGTGCACTTTGGGCGCAACCATTCTGCCAAGGTAGAAGTCCACAAAGGAACAGTCTGCTTGCCGCTTGAAAACGCAAAAACTATCCCTCTCCACTTCACGTGACAGATGAGGTGCATGCAGAAAAGCAAGTTCTCTGAGTCCGCCCGACAAGCCGAGGCAACCGAACCCCTCAGCCGTGCGAAGGCAAAAGCGAGCCAAAACGAAGCCAAGGCACCAACCAAAAGCACCGAAGCACCAACACAAGGCCGACAGAAACCGACAACATGCCGCAAGAAGACGCCAGTCATCAACAAACCGCCCAAAGCCCCCCTACCATCAAGAGGAGGCGGGTGGGGGTGTCCCAATTTCATTTATCCAGTCTTCCCAAACAAAAGGGAAAATGGAACCACAAAAGGAACTCTCCAAAAATCACCCCCCTGCCCCAATTCCCTTTTTACTTGGTGGGGATCCGCCCAAAGCTTGGCTGGACTCAACGCCACGCAACGGGCGGCCCGAGCCTTCGAGCGCAGCGGGTTTAGCCTCGCGCCTTGGACGACACGCCATGAGACTTTCGTGGGTACCCTTTTTGAGGTCGGCTTCATGGGACAAAAGGGGAGATCACCACGTTTTTGTTGGTGCCCCACTTTTAAGACACACCCATATGAACATATCACACTCTTGCGGGGATGTTGTGGGGTCTACCCAACATACAGCGGAGATCGGCCCTGATTCATGGATGGAACTGTCCTACACAACTTCATTCTACCCAGGTTTTGATTGTGGCTCGCAACACCCGCGTGGCTTGATCTGGAATACTGCTTCAACTGGGGCGAGTCATTGGGTTAGGGGACGGACATCGCGTGAAGCAGGCCCCAACTCTTCACCCGGAGTTTCCATCCACGTGTTTCGTGATGCTGAAGACCAGCATATGGGGGTTATCCAATATTACTTTTCCCGGAAACCCTCCAATCGCGACCACAGCGGGGCCAATCGCGGAGCAAACTTGGTAACTTCTTCCCATCTCACAAGCAGAAGCAGCAGCAGCAGCAGCAGCAGCAGCAGCAGCAGCAGCACCACCAGCACCAGCAGCAGTGCCAGCAGCAGCAACACCAGCAGCGCCATGAGCGAAGCCCACGGAAGGGCACCCCCTGGTCCTGACGGGCTCATCAATCGCGGGCCAATCGCGAATTTCGCCGACTTTCCTGGTGAGACTGGTATGGCCGTTACACTGCCTAGCTGAGGGGCTGAGGCAAGGTGTCTACCACAGACATGTCGCCGACAAGGTGCTGCGCATCTCCCTGTCTACAGGGGAGCGGGGTCTGCAAATATGTAAGGGCGACAACCAACCGTTGATGTAACAACATGTTTTGCGCTTCCAATGAGGGGTCACCCAAACATGTAGATGTTACCCCAATCGCAGTCCCAATCGCCGGCCTTTCGCGATGCAGGTTTTACCAATCGCGCACAAATAACAAGTTACCCGAATACATAAACTGAAGACTAGCATTTGCGGACGGCCCCCATATGTTTACAAGTCTCGTTTTGAGAAAAAAGAAGGAGAAAAGAACACATGACCTGCAGCAAACAGAACCCATTCCCCCCGTCCAACCCATTCGCCCCATCCCCAGGAGGGTTTCGGGGCAAGGTGCCGTCTTCCCTTCTTTGATCAATGGCACCTTGCGCTGTTTCCACTCCCAGGTGTGTCTCTGGGCATGTTGGAATTGGCCAGCAAGGAAACCACAAGAATCCCTCAGTGCAAGTAGAGGAGTCAAGCAAACTTTGTGGGTTTTCAAATTTTGTAACAACCCAATGCACCCAACCCAATGGTGTTGTTCTTTTACAACAACTCAATACTACCAGCTTCTTCGGAATAAATGACAGCAAGCGGACTGCTTCCCAGTTTCATGGCTTAAAGCTAAGCAACTCGAGGGACGTCTGTTGGGCAGTACTTGGGCTAAGGTTGAAAAAGCGCCATCCGGGTGCTTTTAGCGCTGGACAAAGATGAAATACCTCAAATTCTCAGTACCAAAAAGAATAAAAACAGAT